TCCCATGCCCCTCTGTGCTCCCTGCCCCTCCCCTCCCCACCCCTTCCAGCCCTTCCCCACTGCCTTCTCCAGGTCTCCACTTGCTCAGCGCTGCCTGCAGCCCCTTCTCTCCTGACGCCTCCCCTGGGCTTTGTTCTTCCTGGGTTCTCACCTCTGGGCTTCTTGGCAAGTTCCCCAGGGGACAACAGCCATACCTCCCCTCACATTCTAGCTCCTTGGCTCTAGACAAGGCCCTTGTGTGACTGCCTCCACCTTTTGTAAACAGTCAGCAACAGCACCTTTGTCCCTGGGTTGAGGTGACCGTGGAGCCAGTGCCTACAGGAGTGCTTACTAATGTCAGCCTGGCTCCTTCTGCCACCTGGGCCCAGGGTCTCAATCCAGCCTCCCCTCCATGAGGAGCGGAGCCCTCCACCCCCCAATGACGCCACTGCCTTCTTACCTGATTCTTCATGCTGCCTGCCCACATCCCATTTTTCCCCTCCCTGGTTCTAGTCCATCCCAGGGACACCTTGCAGTGTTTGTCCTGAGGTGGCCCGTGCTAGGTTTCAGGCCTCCTCACTCCCGACCTCACCCTCTGAAATTACTTGACCCTATCCCACAATATGCAGAGTGCACGTGGCTCTCAAATGGAACCCTTGCTCCCCATAGCCTGGGAGGCAGGATCCCGGGACCAGGGCAGCCCTCCACTTGGTGCCTTCACAAGCTTCAGCTAGTGCCAGTCACAGACGCTCTCTTCCCTGGCAGGGTAGATAGCAGATGAGGGGTGGCCCTGGTTTCTGACCGCTGACTGTGGCCCTGCCCTGCCCTCCCAGCTCTCCTTCTGCCCAGCTCACATCCTTAAACAGGCTCAGCAAGTGTTGAGCAAACTTGAGACTGATGGCACTGATGCCCTGGATGCCCAGGCAGCGCAGGAGGTCACCCAGAATCTCCATCAGGTCCTCAGGGTCCTTGAGCTCAGGCTGCAGGAAACTGTCCAACAGGCTCAGCAGCTGACTGTGCAGCAGGGTTACCTGTGGGGAGACCACTGCCCTCTGGTGGGATTCCCAGTCAATGTCTGCCAGCTGTCCCAGTAGGTCAGACACTGTTCACAGATCACAGCTCTGGGCAGACACTGGGACTCCTGGCCATCTCTCACAAGCTGGTGTCTGCCCATCTCTGAGCCAGCCTAGAGGGGTTGGAGGTCTGAGCACATGACTGAGGCTGGCCCCAAGCCCACTCCCCACCTCCGCTACAGGTTAGACAGGAAAACAGACCAAACCACACCATGTATTGGGGATAGACCAAGCTGCAGCCTCATCCCAGCCCTGTGATGGAGTCATGAAGACCACACGGGGACGGAGACAGGAGGTCCAAAAGGGCAGGAAGTTGGACACTTGGGAGGCAGCTTTCAGATGAGGGATTCCTACCTGGAAGGAGGCAAAGGTTCCATCTCAGAACCCCCTCCAGCTCATAGCCCCCATCTGAAGCAATATGGCAGGGCCACACAGGCCCAATAGCGCCCCCCTGCATCCACCCCTTGCAAGGAGCCACCCTTCAGAATGCCCTTGGGTCTGGTCTTCCCTGCAGTCCTCCTAGGATGGCCTCTCCCAGGACCTTCTTAGGGTGCATCAGGGTGTTTCCCAGTCCCTTCAGGCTCATGGCCTGCACCAACTCATTGTGACTGCAAAGGCCCAGGCTCAGGGGGTTGTTTAGGTCCTTCTAAGACACGCACTAGGAGGTCTCTGGGCTGTTGAGAAACTAAGTAGGGTAGCCACCATTAGTCTACCTGTTAACTACAGCTGCCAGACAATCAGTCTGCTTCACACCACGGGCATGTGGTTAGACCTAACAAAGCACTTCCAACAGCAAGCAGACCTGACATGTAAGGCAGATGTCAGGACCATTTTCTACCAGAAGATGGAAGGGAAGTCCACTGAGGTAGTAGGGGAGAGGCTAACCTCTGTGATGATGAGGATGGCCACGATGTTGTCTCGTTCCCCCTTGCTCTTCAAGGAGAGGATAGCCTGCCCTAAGACAGCCTTGATCTAGCAGCTGTAGTGGACTATGGCCCTGTTACACACAAGAGGAAGGCACAGAGTCCCAGAGGGCCCTCCTCAAGCACTGGCCAGATAGCCTGAAGCGCAGGGTCCAGTGAGGGGAGGGTGGACTGCACAGCTCATCATTCCAGCTCCTTCTAGGTAAAGGATTCCCAAGCTGAAGGCTCACCTGGCCAAGATGATCACCCCCTTTATGTAGGTTTCCAGGTGTTCAAAGAGCTCCCAGCTGTGGATCAGCTTGATGTGGGCAAATACCTCCCAGTACCGGTTGGTCCAGAAGAGGCCCTTGAGGGCTTCCAGACAGGTTCTAGGCAGAGTGGAGCCAGCCAGTGGGGATGCTGGGTGCCCTGTCACCCCTCCAGGCTAGCTGCCACCCCTGGGCTTCCCTTGCTCAGGAGTCTCTCCACTGGCATGTCGGGTACCCTGCCCCACTCCTACCCCAACTCCTTCCCAGCACCAGTGGGGCTCGATGGGCATGTGGGCATGTGGAGGAAACCCAAGGCCATCTCAGCTCACCTGAAGGGCCCCAGAGGTTTAGGGGCCAGATTATCTTCCTGGTAGTCAGAGATGTCCTCCACCGGGCCCAGCTCCAATAGGTAATGCAGCTCTGTGAGGAGGCCCAGGAGGATCCCCGAAAAGGCCCAGCAGACTGCGTCCCTGTACTCCTGGGTGCAAAGGAGCTCATAGATGGTGCTCAGGGCCTGGAGGGGTGACAGCAGGGCCTGGAGGGGTGACAGGGCAGGACCTGGAGGGGTGACAGGGCAGGGCCTGGAGGGGTGACAGAGCAGGGCATGGGGGGGTGACAGCAGGGCCTGAAGGGGTGACAGGGCAGGACCTGGAGGGGTGACAGCAGGACCTGGAGGGGTGACAGGGCAGGACTTGGAGGGGTGACAGGGCAGGGCCTGGAGGGGTGACAGGGCAGGGTATGGGGGGGTGACAGCAGGGCCTGGAGGGGTGACAGGGTAGGACCTGGAGGGGTGACAGCATGGCCTGGAGGGGTGACAGGGCAGGACCTGGAGGGGTGACAGCAGGGCCTGGAGGGGTGACGGGGCAGGGCATGGGGGGGTGACAGCAGGGCCTGGAAGGGTGACAGGGCAGGACCTGGAGGGGTGACAGCAGGACCTGGAGGGTAGCAGCATGGCCTGGAGGGGTGACAGGGCAGGACCTGGAGAGGTGACAGCAGGACCTGGAGGGTAACAGCATGGCCTGGAGGGGTGACAGGGCAGGACCTGGAGGGGTGACAGCAGGGCCTGGAGGGGTGATAGGGCAGGACCTGGAGGGGTGACAGCAGGGCCTGGAGGGGTGATAGGGCAGGACCTGGAGGGGTGACAGCAGGGCCTGGAGGGGTGATAGGGCAGGACCTGGAGGGGTGACAGCAGGGCCTGGAGGGGTGATAGGGCAGGACCTGGAGGGGTGACAGCAGGGCCTGGAGGGGTGATAGGGCAGGACCTGGAGGGGTGACAGCAGGGCCTGGAGGGGTGATAGGGCAGGACCTGGAGGGGTGACAGCAGGGCCTGGAGGGGTGATAGGGCAGGACCTGGAGGGGTGACAGCAGGGCCTGGAGGGGTGATAGGGCAGGACCTGGAGGGGTGACAGCAGGGCCTGGAGGGGTGATAGGGCAGGACCTGGAGGGGTGACAGCAGGGCCTGGAGGGGTGATAGGGCAGGACCTGGAGGGGTGACAGCAGGGCCTGGAGGGGTGACAGCAGGACCTGGACGGGGGCCCTGTCATCAGAGGAGCTATGGATGTAGCAGCCTCAAAGTCAATCTGGCCCTAGGTCTCACTGCCTTCTCCTGGCCCCCTGGCAGTCAGCACTCAGGTTCTCTGGCTACTTCTGCACCCTGAGTCCTGTGGTCACACCCATTGCCCTAGCTTGTCTTTTTCTGAGCCTACAGTCCTCTTTGCAAGAGGCAGAGCTAATAAATAGGTCACTCTTAAGTCAGACCCTTCCGTGGCTCCCCACCAACTTTGGGGCAGTCCAGATCCCGGCCTTGGCCTCCTGACCACACTGGCCAGTGTTGACCACTTTCACCTCCCACCTCTGCCAAACTGCCTCTTCCAGGAATCCCTCTGCCCTCCCTGGAGTGTTTCACTCCTTCATCTCTCTTCATTGCTCTCATCCCCATGGCCAACCGTGGCCTAGTGCATGGCCACTGTGTCTCTGCATCCTGTCAGGGCAGCTGGGCTCTCTACTGTTTCCCAGGATATCCAGGACCACTCGCTGGGAGCTCATGGGGTGTTTACTTTTCCTATTCTAGTCTGTCATCCACCTTCATAAATGATCACAAACCATGATAAAAGCCTGAGGGCCAAGCCCCCCAGAGGCAGCACGGTATGCCCCCTGGGATCCACTAAGGCCCTGGATCCTGCTGTCACCACCAAGGGAACCATGTTGGTGGCATAGCACAAGATGCTGCTCACCCTCAGGGAGACCAGCCGAGACGGATAAGTGGATTGGATGAGCCTCCTGGGGGGCCGCAGCTTCAGCATCATGTAGAGCAGGGCCACGACCTCACGGGCCACGTGGTAGTTGGCAGCCAGGGCCTTCCACAATAGTAGGATCCACCTGAGGAAACAGGGTCTATACCACCACTGGGCACACCACCGGGGGAGGCCTCCATGAAAGCTGGCCATCAGCAGGATGTGGTAGGATAGGCTCTAGGACTTGTGTTCTGTGATGCCTTTGCCTGATGTTTGCACAAGTTCCAGTCCTGCAGTTCTTCTCTCCAGGGCCCTGAGAAAACCACTGCCCTGCCTCAGTCTGTCCCTTCTCTTGGAAAGAAGGGCCAGGCCCCTTGGATGGCCTGGGGAGAGAAGGAGAGCTGGCGGAGCCAGGGACCACTGCAGGCCGGGCTCAGGAGACCCAAGTTTCACTTCGCTCCTTGTCAAAGACTGTATGCCTGGCACCTCTCACACTGCCAAGTACACACACATCTGTGAGGTGGTTCACGTGTGGCCGGCCACCTAAACTCAGTGTTCCTGACAGGCTTGTGGCCATACTGATGTGGCAGGCCCACAGTCACGTTCTGAGTCAGCAAGGCCTCATTGTTTACACACTATAGCTTGGAAAGCTCAGTGGTCCCCAGTGTGGTCCCCACTGCAGCAGCTGGAATCCAGACTCACTGTGGCTCAGGGGCCATGAGGTGCCTGTGGGTGGGGCCGGGGGAGTCACTGTGTGTTTTTCACAATGTCAGGCTGATCTACGGCTCAGTGGCACGTTGGCCTCTGGTGACTTCTAAATCAGGATCATTTCTACACTGGAGCCCCTCTGGGATTGCTAGAGCCCTGTTTAATATCCCAGACACCTTCAGGGCCCCACTGGCTACAGTCTGGAGTGAAGGAAGCAGACGCCTCAAATGCCCGCACCTCCCCAGTGTGCTCAGTGAATACCTGTGGCCCAGAAAGGAGGGCCACCACATCACTGGATGATGTCCGCAGTGGGCATAGGCCAAGGAAGGGCCTACCTCTCTGAGGGCGGACACTGGGACAGGACCACCTCAACCACCTCCTGGCTATGCTGGATCCCCAGAGCCAAAGTGGCCTGACTTATGGTCTGCAGGATGTCCCTGAAGTGGACACTGGGCAGCTCCTGGAATAGGCACTGAAGGATCTCAGCTACCTGTGAGGAAGGGCAGGCAAAACACAGTCTCAGGTGGGCTTGTGGTGCCTCTCAGCTTTGAGGCTCAGGCTGTGTACCCATCTCTGTGGAAACTGTGGGGTTGGTCTTGGAGTAGTACCCAACTTGATGGGGCCTGGAAGCCCCCAATGGTGCGTCTTAAATGTAGTTGGCCTGGCCAGTCTGAGGGCAGTCAGATCTGCTCTTTGCACAAGCTGACCATGAGACAGCAGACAGTGGGCCAGGGATCTGCGGCCATAGCACAGTCTGCTGAACAAAGGCAGCTGGAGGTGGGGCTGCTAGCCAGAAGCGTGTTGGGGTCCCATTCACTGGCTGCTAGGCGCATCGCCCGTGGTCCCTGTGAATAGGTGTGTGTGTGTGTGGTGCATGCTCACATGGGCACACCTTGACATTGCATGTCAGCTCCCCTCCCTTGCCTGCAGGGGGCCACCTGTGCAGATGGGCACAGGCCACACCCACTCAGCCTCACCTGCTCCTTCCTGAGCCCAGGGTCCTGGCAGACCATCAGCAGGAGCTGGACAGCCAGGTCACAGCGGAGATGGTTGTAGCTACCTAGGCTGTACACCAGCGTAAGGACCAGCTGTGTGTGCTGTACCACTGTCAGGTCATCCTTGAAGGCCTGTGCAGAACCAAAGTTCACAGAGAGGGCCAGGTAAGGGCCTTGGCTTTTACCAGAGAGGGAAGGAGGGCCATGGTCATGTGCGTGCACTGGGCATAGCCTTGCAGGGCCCCAAGGCGCCCATCCTGCCCCAGCCCTTAGCCCCTCTGGCCTGTAACTCGTTCATTATCACTGAGCGACTGCAAATGTGCCCACCATAAACTCCCAGCTGCCTCTCCTCTGAAGACTTGTCCTGGGACGAAGGGGGGCGGGGTTTCAGGGACCCACCCCACCTGCAGCCAGTCACCAGCACCAGCTCCCACTAGGTCTCACCCTGGGTCAAGGTGAATGCCCAGCTCTCCCTTTGCTTCCCTTTCCCACTGCCCTGAATCATGAACCCAAATTGCCATCTACTGTCTGTCCAAAGGGGCCAGGAGGACAACAGGCTCAGCCTAGTGTGGGGCCCAGGGGGCACCAGCTGCTCGGAAGTCTCATGGCTCCTGCCCTCCTGCCTGCCTCAGGAGCAGCTGAATCTCAGGCCCAAGTGATCCTCACTTGGAAGGCAGGGAAACTGAGGCTCAGTTTCCTCAGAAATGACTGACCCAGAGTCAGTCACCCAGCTGTGGAGCTTGAACATAAATCCAACCCCTTTCCTCTCCTTTCTGAATGAAGGACAGGCCCAAGTCTGAGAAGGGATGTAGGAGAGGTAGGCCAAGGAAGGCCAGAATGAGGAACATCCCTGCTTACCTTGCCTGGGCTGGAAGGACAGTGGTAAGACCAAGGCGTCCCCGGCAGAGCAAGATGGTTACTCACCCTTGGCCTCAGAAGGCAGTACATGTAAGAACCTTGGGCCTGTGGGTTCAAATGCCCAGTCCAGGCAGAGGCTAGAAGGGGAGGGCCTGCAAGATGATCCTTCCATGGCAAGGGCAGGGGTCTGCCCCATCTGCTCGCCTGCATGGGTCCCCTGGGACTCCAGTACAGGGCTGGGATGGGGGAAGGGAGCATGGGTCAAGCCTGAGCAACCTTCACTATGCGGTAGACCTTCATCTCCCACTCTCTGGATGTTGTGTCTTCCAAGTACCTCATCTTATTCTAGTTCGTAGATTCCACCAACTTCGCCGTGTGGTGGTTGCACCGAGGAGAGGTGCTGGGCCAGGAGGTAGTCTCCTCCCTCCCATTCAGTAGGGTCCAAGGACAGCCTAACCTGAGCCGCTGTGTCCCACCCGAACCCTGCTCCACTCACCCTTCTGCTGGACCACAAGCTGGAGGAGGAGGAAGACAGAGCATTGGGGATACTGTTGCGTGGCCTCCTCTTTGTCCCGCCACAGCAGAGTCAGCAGGCCTATCTGGTGGCCCAGCCTGGACGGCGCAGCCTCTTTCTGGGGAGAGTGGGGGTGCGAGCAAAGCCAGACCTGGCTTCATAGTGTCACTCCCTCCACTCCTGTGCTCAGCGTCTTGTGGACTACGCATTGGCTGGGACCCGAGAGACGCTCCTGCTCCACCTAGGAGAGCCCTTCGCCTCTCTGACCTATGTGTGTGTCTGTGTGCGTGTGTTGTGTACATGAATGTGTGCTGCATGCACACTGATGGGTATGCATATGTGCCTCTGTGTATGTGTGTGTACCCGTGTGCATATGCGTGTGCCAGTGTTTATGAGTATGTGCCTATTTGTACACATGCCGTGTCTCTGTGTGCTTTCCCGTGTGCCTACCTTGCGTGGGTCCCTTGATGGTCTCGATCTACGGGCTTGTGTCTTCTCAGCGGATCCGAGCCTCTTTGGCCGCCCCTTACCTGCCGTCCTCTCGGCCCCCGGGACCCCGCACACATCGCTCCCCGGCCTCAGGGCCCCTCTGCTCCTTCCCGTCTTCCCATCCACGGCAGTCCGTTCTTGTCCCTTGTTTCTTCTAAGGTGGCTGAGGTGCTAGGTCATCAACCCCGTGGTTTCTCACTTTGTTTGGGGTTCTAGGACGTCCTTCCAACTCTTACATGTAGTTACCACTTATGGAAGTAGTTACCATGTAGTTCTTTCTTAAAACATTTGTTCTTGTGTGTCTGTTTTGCCTACATGGTTTTAAGTGCACCACATACTTGCAGTGTCCACAGAGGCCAGAAGAGGGCATCAGATCCCTTGGAACTGGAGTTGTAGACAGTTGTTAATTCACCATACAGGTGCTGGGAACTGAACTGGGGTCCTCTAGAAGAGCAGCCTTTGCTCTTAACTGCTGAATCATCTCTCCAGTCCCCTCATTTATATCTTGATACACAAGTATTCTTTTTTCTTTTTTATCTTTTTGAGACAGGGTGTCTCTGTAGCCCCAGCTGTCCTGGAACTCACTGTAGACCAGGCTGGCCTCGAACTCACAGAGATCTGCCTGCTTCTGCCTCCCAAGTGCTGGGATTAAAGGTGTGTGCCACCACGCCCGGTACAAGTATTCTTTTTAGTGTTTGCCTTTGAATTCTTGAAAGCACAGCCACATATTGCATAAAATTTCTTCAGTCTCTTTAACCATACACAAAGTAGCATAGAACAGTGGTGATGTGGACCTCCTGTAATCTTTCCAGTCACAACAAGGATGGGGGGAGGGTCCTGCAGTCTCTCCTGAATGTCCAAGACATGGAGGTTCATATAATTGGAGTTTGACTTCAAAGAGAGCTGCTCCTGTGCCTAAGCAGCGTGGACCCAGACAGAAGTTGCCCAAGGCTGGGCCATTCTCCAATGGTAGTGGGTTCAAGGGGCGGAGAAGTGATCTGCTGAGGAGCGCAGAGTGTGGGGGCAGCTCTACTCTGAGGTGGCTGCCTCGTCCTATATGGGCCACATCCCATGGCTGTCTCCTCAGAGTGCAGCTTCTGCTCCAACTTTGGGGACATGCAGCCCAGGATACCCTGTCAGTCACCCTCACGTTGGGACCCCTGGTGTCACCTGTGAATTCATTCCTTCATAAGCCCAGATTAGACGCCTTTTCTGAAGTCTCTGGGCTGAGCCCCTCAGCTCGCTGCCAGACTGCCCACCCCCATCAGCTCAGCATGGTGGCCTGCATGCCCAGCAGACTCCACATGCCCAGGCAGCCCACCCAACCCCCCGGAAGTACATGCCCCAGTGCAAACCCAGAGGCCACTTCAGTTGGTGACAGCCCACTCATCATCAACCCAAGGCCACCTGTGTCCTCTCACCCTGCTCCCCAGCAGGGCTATTTCCACTGCTCCGGTCTCTGACCCTTCTCTTCTGGAGGCCCGAGTGCACCCTGAGCTCACTGTGTTGCTCACCTCTCGGAAGGCCAGTCTTTAGGTCTCCAGTGGAACTGGCTGCCCAGCCCCCACTTGGATCCACAAGTTCCAGGCAAAGCCCTACCTGCCTCAGGCCTCCATTGGGTCTAATGAATCATCCAGGACCTTCCTGGTCATTGTATTTTCACTTTTATAACTTTTTATTTTGATTTCACCTCAACCATACACAGTAGTTGAGGGAATTCCAGTGTCCTCCAGCCAGCATTTCCTGTTAGTTACACTCTGTTCCATTTGGTCTTTTGGTTCTCTGTGTCTCTGTCTCCCTTCTGTTTGGAGACACTAGAAAATTTACCCACAAGTTCCTCATGGTTTATTTCCTAAGAATGAGGACGCAATGACCAACACAGAGCAAAGGTCACAGAATATTTTAATTCTCTATCAATGCCGTTATCTAATCCACAGTCCATATCCAAACTTTGTCAATACTCCAAAACTATCATACAGTTTTGACACCTCACACCCACACCCACACACACACCTCACACATACCACTGCTCACACATCACTCCTCATACACATACACCTCACAACACTCACACTCCATACACACAATTCCTCACACACAACACTTCTCATACATACAACACTCACATACAACACTCTTTACATACAACAACACTCCTCACACACAGCACACTTCAATGAACAACACACCTCACTCATGGACAACACCTCACATACATCTCTCAGAGTATGTACCTTCTATGCATACAGCCTACACCACACACACACATACACACACACACACACACGCACTTCACAAAGAGCTCTATGTGTGCTTAATACACACATGCCTATCTAGATTACATTAGGAAAATCGTGTGTTCAAGTCAACGGCTCCTGCACTGGGACACAGCCACAGTCTCTCTGACAGAGACCCTCGTCCTTTGCCCCTTTCCAGTAGAAGACTCTGCTTCTAAACCCTCCATACGCTTTGTCATTTGTAAGTTTAGAATACAATTTCAGAATTGCAAAACAGTATTACTGCAAAAACCAAACTGCAAAATTTTAACAAAGCATGCAAAAAGGTTACAAATATTAAGTGTCAATTCAACAATTCTGGACAACTGAACAGACTTGTGTCTCTATCTGCTTTCTGCTGCTGAAACAGAGTGCCCAAGGCGGAGTAGTTGATAAAGAGGTTTATTTAGCTCAGAGCGTGGAGGCTAGGAGGCCTGAGATCAGGCAGTGGCATCTGGCGAGGGCTTTGCCCTGGACCATAACATGGCAGGATTGTGTGAGGAGCTGCCCAGTCTCTCAAGGGCTAACCAATTCCTCAAAGAGCTAATCCAGCCTCAAAAGAAAGATGCTGACTACCTCTGACAGGCCTCATCTCCCACCTCTGGCGCCTTCAACACGTTCTGGCAAAGACAAACCACAATCCAACCATGCCGCCCAACTCACCCCCCCCCCCGCAGCCCCGTCCTTGTAGAAAACAGCACCCCATCAAGGTTCCCTGGCACTGCCTGGTTCTTCTCGTCGGTTCTGCCTCTCTGCTCCCCACTTTCCCGTGGTCCATCCCTGTGATAAAGTGTGACAATTCCTTCCCTGAGCTGTGAGGGGGTTGTCAGCACACACTGCCTCCTGGACATCTGGGGCGCTACCGGCTTGGCACCACTATGAATAAAATCAAGTACATCTTCTTGTGTAAGTCTTTTCAGGATGTAAGTTCTCACTCCTCTTGGGTAAATACCTGGGAGTGGAACTGTGTGGTTAAGGAGTATGTGTTTAACTTTCAAAGGACCTTCTGGAGTCCTGCCAAGCAGTTTGAACATTTTACAACTCCCACCAGCTTGTGTGACATTTCTGGTGCTCCATACCCGACCAACTTGCTGTAACCAGTCTTTAATTTTACCCTTTCAGGGTGGCTGGCAGAGCCTCAAGGTGACTGGTCTTATTTGCATTTCCGTTTTGACATAGTTATGTTCGGCATGTTCACTTTCATGGGCTTTCTTTACAAAACCTGTTTGAGTCTGTTGCCCGTCTTAAGGGCTGGGTTAGCTTTTCACTGAGTTGTGGGAGCTAATCACATTGTCTAGATACAAATCCTCTGTCTGATACACATATCACACACATTTTGGCCCCATCAGTGACCTGTGTCTGAATGCACAGAAGTTACTAATTTTGATGAAGTCCATTTTATTCTTTATTTCTGAGATGCCCAGACTGGCCTCTATGTAGTCAAGGATCACCTTGAATTTTGGTGTGTACCACCACATGACTGGTTTTATGCAGAGCTGGGGATCCAGCCTAGGGCTTGAGCATGGTAGACAAGCCCTCCACCAACTGAGCTATGGCCCCAACTTGTTTTGCCAGTATTTTTTTTGTAATTACTGATCTTTGCCCATCCCCGCTTGCTCCGTATTTGTGAGGAGGGTCTGGCTTCCTCTAGAGACCTGGAGACCTTCACTGTGCCTTAGGTGTCCTGTCCCCCTGTTCCCTCCCTCCCTTTCCCCTTCCCCTTTCTCCCTCCCTCCTTTCCTCTCAGCACTGGTCCTCCACAGCACAGCCTCCCCATCCCAGGCTGTTCCCCATCACCCCTCTGTCCCCGTGTCTACAGTCTCTACTTTCTGTTGGCTGCTGTCTTGGAATCAGGATTTCCCCAGACCACCCTGGGCTGCAGCCCCCAGTCCCCCAGCCTGGGGCCTCAGTACCTATGGCAGGAATCTGCGTATGCCAGGTGCTTGCTCACCCCGTTCCCCTACCAGATGCTCCCAAGGCCCAGGGTGCGGGGGACTCACAGCAAGCTTCAGAGAGTTCACCATGTACTGCAGGAGCAGGAAGATGGACTGCACTGCCCGACTGCACTCGTGACTCTTGTCTGATTTCATCCAGTGCTCTGTGTGCTGGGATGGGGAGGGGCAACATGAGAACACCCTCATAGGTGCCGTGGCACCCAGCTCAGGCTTGGCCCGTCAACCAGACCACTGGCCTTCCTACTGACCATCAATCTGTCCATTCCTTCAGCTCAGGGCTGCCCTGCAGGCTTGGGCCACCAGAGACACGGGAAAACCAAGGCGATTCTTCCTACACTCATTCAGCCAACATAGTACTTCCCATACCAGTCAAGTCATCCTCAGCAGACAGCTGAGCATCCTCCAGTTCAAATCAGCTCCATCTACCTGGAAGTCATGCCACATCCCACAGACCAAGGGCTCTGTCTCCAGGTCCGCTCCATTCTGGACCCAGTTCCAAAACCCAACTGTTGCCTGTTTCAGACCAACCCACCATAAATTACGTTAGTCCATTTTCATAACTGTAACAAAATGCCCAAGGCAGACTATAAGAAAAGTCTTATTTTGCCTCATGATTCTGGAGATTCTAGAGACACCACATTTGATGACGGACTTGCTGGCAGTGCCCTGAAGTGGAAAGGGACACCACATGGTAGAGACAGGAAACACTGGGTGCCTGTGCGGCTCTTCTTATCTCTCACCCCTTCTCATAAAACCCCAGGGAGGGCTGGTAGTGTGACTCGGTGCTAGAGCACTTGTCTGGTATGTACAAGGTCCATGTACAAGGGCCTGGATTCAATCCCCAGTAACACACACATACTACACGACACACATGCATATACATACCATACACATATACACACTACACACACCACACACACCATATACATATGCATACATCACATACCATGCACACATATATCAGACACGTACATACACACCACACACATACACATATTTACATATCACACACATACACGTACATATATATACACATACATTGTACACACATATACACGTATCACACACACACAAAGTCACCAGGGTCCAGCCACTGGGCCACTGCCTCACTCCCAAAGAGCTCCTAATACCATGTCTGGCTTAGGTTTCTAGCCTCTGAGTGCTTCCCATTGGGGACCAGTTTTCAACACAGAGACTGGTGGACACTGAAATTGTGTCCCACCAAACCCATGGAGCCGTCACCTCTCCCTGAGTTCAGCCTGAGGAGCAATGCCCAGAACTTGGGGACACTATATGGTGTTTGTCCATTTATTATAGATGACATGGCAAAGTTCACCAACAGATATCAGATGGGAGATGTAGAGGGACACAGAGCCCCCACACCTTCCCTGGTACCGTGCCAAGTCCAGAGCTCACTGGCTCAGCCGTTGCGAGGCTCCCTCAAGCCCTGACCTTTTGAAACTCAGGGAGACTTCAGTGGGTAGGCATGGTTGATCAAACCACTAGCCATCGGCAAGTAAACCAACCTGCAGTGCCTTTGAGACAAGACTGGACTGGAAGATAAGCACTGTGATGACACAGCTGCTTCCAGTCCTGTCATCCAGGAGCCCCACCAGCTTCCCATTAGTATGCAGAGTGTACTCCTCAGTCTCCACAGGCCTGGCATGGAGCTGTGTCAGGAACCAGGCTGAGGACCAGAGGCCGCTTCCCAACCCTGCAGCCTCATGGCCTTTCCTGAACCCTAACTACAACGCTGGAGAGAATGGCTTGCAGCCTGGCATGGAGATGACATGCAGGGGGCCACCTCCCTCTGGTGCTTCCTGGCCGTTTGAAGGAATTTGGAGGGACTGCCACTGGACCGGAGCCAACATTTTCTCAGCTGCCCCAGTGACCCACCCCCTCCTTCTTGACTCCTTGTGGGCTGGATGGGTCCCTGGATATTGGTCCTGCCCCCTTGCCTCTGACCCACACGCTGGGTCCCTCCCCTAGGGACTCTGACAAAGCTCCTGCTCTAATGGCTGCAACAGAGGGACATATCTAGCCTGAACGATCAGGTGTGGCCACAGCTGAGGCCAGTCAAGGCTCCAGGCAGCATATAGATCCAGCTAGCAGTATGTGGGTGGCCCTGTCAGTTTGGCAGCGCCCCAAAGCAAAAGGATGCCTTCAACAGCAGAGGCTGGCTTTGCTGGTGGTTCAACTCTGCCTCTCTCAAGCTCTGAGGCACTCATCAGAACTACAAAGAGAAGCCAGGCCTGACTCCATCCCTACCCTAGGCCTCAGGTCCCACCCTGGCCACCAACTCCATGCTGCAAACCCTCAATCCACTGTCACAGTGCAGCACAGCACAGCTCGGCCAGTTCCCTTTAGAGCTTTGGAAAGGCCATCCTGTGCTCTGGTGATGTGCTGGGGTGAGGGTGGTCTGGGGCTTACAGAGCAGGGGTCCCTTCTTTGCGAACTCAGAGGGATCAGCGACCAGCAAGACCGCCTCAAACCCAGTTTCCTTAGCTGAAGTGCGGGAGTCATGGTGCCATCCCTGGACTGTGGGGTGTCCAGGCTGGTGAGAGTGCTCCCGCCCCTCAGACAGGAGTTTGCGGCCTAGCCAACACCCACCAGGATGGAAAGGTACAAAGAACAGGAACCTGGGAACATCTGTGGAGAAATCACTTGCAGGAGGAAGCAGACCTCATCCATGCTGGGATTCTCAGAGATGAAGTTCTGATGCAGCAGGTCCAGGGCACGCACTGTCTTCTTGTACAGCATCTGGCAAGGGACAGACCGGCTGGTGTCACACAGCCAGGTCACTACATGACCCCTTCAGCTCCTCCATGAGGGTCAAGAGGCATCTGCCTCCTGCAGCCCAGCTCTGGCAGGTGAGGACAGGCCACGCCATCGGCAGCTGCAGGGTCTAGAGGTCTTCACCACAGGGACAGGGAGAGCTGCCTCCAGACCATGGACAGGTACCCGAGGGGCGTGGTCCCGAGGACTGCTCAGGCCTGTCCCCTCCGCCATTGCCTGCTGCTTCGTGCCCAGCTTCCTGCTCGACCCGCTTTTCCTCAGCCATTCAAAAGTCAGCAGGTTTAAGCCATTCACGGAACTGCTGCCCCAGGCCTCTGCCCTGACAGCCCTGAGTTCTGGGAGCTGCCCGGTGACTGCAGGAAGAACAGGTGCTCTAAGGTTATATGGCGCTGCATAAACACCTACGGAATGAGGAAGGATCTCACACGTTCGCTGCCGCTCTGTGTGGGCTGCTGCAGTGTACCCACACCCCAGCCTCAAGGCCCAGATGCTCAGGATGTGAGGAGACAGGATATGCTGTTGATGCAAACGAGGACCGCTTCGCAGCTGGTGTCCCTTCTGTGCCCTTCAGTAGGCACGGGTCCTGCTCTCATTCCTGTGCATTTACTGAGCATGTCCCAAGCACCCACCATGGAAACTGTGCCATGGGCACCAGGCCAGCTCTTCCCCAGGGCTCACTCACAGCAACACCACGCATTAAAAACGTAAAAACAAGAGTGAATAGCCAAGCAAGTTTGAGGTCAAGTAATTTGCATTAGCTGCTTTTGTGCCATGGTGGCCAAATGCCTGACAGACCAACGTGAGGATTTATTTTGACTCACCGTTTGAGGGGATGTAGCCCAACGTGGTGGGGGAAGGCATAGTGACCAGGAGAGCTTGGTTCGTGGTGGCGGGAGCTTGAGGTACAGCTTCTTACATGGTGTCAATTAGGAAACAGCACTTGGGCTAGAAACAACTCTCAAGGCCCACCCCACAGTGACCCACCTCTAGCTAGGCCTAACCTCCTAAAGGTTCCAGAACTTCACAAAATGGAAAACTTCAGCTGGGGAACAAGTGCTCAAACACATGAGCCTGTGGAGTATGTGACATGTGCATACCATAGTGTTTCAATCTTGTCCTCCCTACGGCCAACTCATAATGCAAAATGCATTCAGTTCAACTCCAAGAGTCCCAGTCTTAACAGCCCCAATACTTTTCAGAAGTTCAAAGCCCAAATTCTCTCCTGAGACCCAAAGCAGAGATCTGAGCCCTGAAGTTACCTATTTCCAATATACAGGGGCACGGAGTAAGCATCCCATTTCAGAAGAGACTTACAGGACAGCAGGGAGAGGCTGGGCACCAGACCAAGGCGGGCAGGACAGGCATCAAAGCCTGAAGCTGGCATCCAGGGTGCATGGTGGCATCACCTGGGCTCTTACAGACTTGGAAATGGCCTTCACAGCCTCGTCACTTGCAGCACACATGGCGTCTCTCTTGGACCTGCTCCACTCGGTACCTTCAGTTTCCTCTGCAGACATTCCATGTTCCTGGCAGCCTCCATTACAGCAGGGGCTTCACCTTTACTATCTCACACCCGTCTCTCGGGTCCTCTCTTTGGGAAATCTGGTCCTGATACACACTGCCTGCCTTCACTGGCTTTTTTTTTTTGAACCTTGGCACAAGGCTCCATGACCCTAAGGTCTTATATTACACAAAATCCAGTAGTGGGTGCCAGCCCCAAGGCCTGAGACCAGCTCTAGATGTAGCTTGTCCCCTCGAACCTGGGCTGCAGCAGCTGCAGGGTTTCTGGGCGGCTGAACCTCGAACCACACTTCCCTGGGCATTCCTTTTCCTAAAGGGAACCGCCGCAGCAACTCTGTCCGGGCGCTCTTGTCAAGTGGGTTTGCATTTCTGCACGCCGGAGCTTGTCCTCAGTCACCTTCCTATTGTCCCAGTTCAAAGTTTTTGACGTCTTCTTAAATGGTACTAATCTAACAATTGGAGCCACTTTGTCTAAGTCCACCTGACCTCCACATACCTGCAGTTTTAACCAGGTCTCACCCCTTTCCTGGTTAAGTACATGCTTTGCACATCTTTCCCCCACTTTTTAGACTCAGTCTTCTATATTGATTCTAATATATCAATTAAGAGACAAAGCAATGGTGTAAATCAGAGGAGACTTAGTCAATGCGGCCATGTTTCAGGAAAGAGAGGACCCCATCACCCAGGCCAGGAAGAAGCGCCGGCCCCCAGGCATCACCATGACATCTGGGGCCAACTCCTATGGAGACAGGTCCTTCTTCAAGGCCTCAATGGAGGGAAGAGCATACACGCTGCGCAAGCAGGTCTGCAGGATCTGCGACTTGAGCAGGGGTTTGAGCCTGGGCCGCAGGTTGCTGCAAAAGGCCAGGAGGGACAGGCCTTCCTGAATAGCTGAAGTGCTGGGGGTGCAAGGTTGGCTGAGGGGCTCCCAGCAAGGAGGGGTCGGCAAAATTAGAATGTGGAAGTCAATCTGGAGGCCCGCCTGCCTCGTACTGACTTGGCGCAGGGTGGGTGTGATTGGGGAAAAATGAGCTTGTTTGAACTGGGAAAGACCAAGGCAAGAGGGACCGTGGCAAGCTGTCCTGACTCGTTCACTTCATCCTCATGGACTCACTGGCACTTGCTTGGGAGAAGCCTAGAGGTTGTTCTGGAGGCTATGAACAGGTCAGAAGTCAGAACATAGTCTGTAGCAGGATCAGCAGTGAAGGGTGAAAGAACCAGGCTGGATGTATGATGGGGTTTAGGGCTTAGCACGTGACCAGGATCAGGGCTCATGTGATTGGGATCAAGGCCCAGTGCATGACCAGAGTCAAGGCTCAGTCTTTGCCAGTGTTAGCATCCTGCCTTGACCATGAAATACAGTAAACCTAACCTCCCAGGCAGAGCGTGTGTTTTGTTTCTGTAAGTGATGCCCCTCACACACTGACCACCCTACACACCGCTTGACTTGTCCTCCTTCCCGTGCCCTGGCAGAGTTACCTCAGGCCCATGATGACCAGCATGACCTTCTGCCGGAAGAATGTGCTCAGGGTGTTGGGCTCCTTCTGGAGGATGCACTGGAGGGCAAAGCAGGGGCCAGAGTGCTGGCAGCATCTGGTTGGCCATCCTGGTCCCCAAGTACCCACTGTGAAACTAATGTCACTCACCAGAAGACACTGGATGAGCTCTGGTATCTGAATGAACTTGTACTTGTGGGAGCCATACTCTTCCTGGAGCGCTCTGGTAAGCAGGACTGCTGCAGAGAGGAAGCTGGACTTCAGGACATCGTCCTGTCCCCACACAGAGAAGCCAAAGGCCAAGTCAGGGGATAATTCCCTAAAATACTGGCATACGGCCCAAGCAGCCACCCCATCAGGGGTGCTAGCGGCATGTGTGCATGTGTACCTCACACACAGCACAGCTCTCTCTCTCTCTCTCTCTCTCTCTCTCTCTTTCCTCATTCCTCTCTCCCACCATCTCTTGCTCTCTCTCTCTCTCTCTCTCTCTCTCTCTCTCTCTCTTGCTCACTCTTTCTCTCTCACACATACACTCACATACACACACATATACACACACAGACAACACAACACAGCTCACACACAGCACACTTAACACACACAGATGACACACACAACACAACCCACACACACAGCCACCTCACTCACCTCTCTCTCTCTCTCTTGCTCACTCTTTCTCTCTCACACATACACTCACATATACACACACAGACAACACAACACAGCTCACACACAGCACAGTTAACACACACAGATGACACACACAACACAGCCCACACACACAGCCACCTCACTCACACATACAGCCTCCCTGCTGATCAAGGATGCTCTCTACACAAGGTTCTCTTCTCCCTCAGTCAGCCTCACTGCCCTGGACTGGCCCAGGCCTGTCCCAACCATCCAACCACCTGCAGTGAGCTGCAGTGCAGAAAGCCCCTGAAGCCTCTGCTCCTGAACCCTCAGGGCTGTGAACACTAAAAATTGGCCCACTGTCTCAAGGTCAGGCAAGGTGACAGGGTACCCTGCCTGCCCTGCTCTTCTTTGGAGTGGTGGGGCAGGGCTCACACAAGGGCCGCAGGAGAAATAGTACGCCATCCGAGAGACAATATTGTCCACCCAGGGCAGGATCTGCTCCTTGGTATGTCTGGCTATCTGCCCATAGCACAGGCAGGGAGGTGCTGCTGACCCATCTCCACCATAGTTGAGGTCTGAGGGCTGTGGGTGGGTGAGAGCCGGGCCTGAGGTCTGGGGGCAGGTGAGAGCCGGGCCTGAGGGCTGGGGACAGGTGTTGCCCCGTCTAGCATGGCCCAGTAGCAGGGGCCTCCTTTCCGGGCTGTCTGGAGACATGAAGGCTGAACTCAAGAACTTGGTGAGGCCCAGGTCCTCCGGCATGGCCCATACCTCCTGCATGTGCTGGGTGGAGGCCAAGGCAACTGCCAGCGCAATGCCCTGCATGCCAGAGGACCCCGTGAGGCAGCCCACAGGTGACACTGCAGGTCCTAGTCCAGCTCTCTAGGGCCTATTTTCCCAGCGGGGCTGTCCTGCCCCCACACCCCCACCAAACTGGGTGGGTTAGTGTCTGGGAAAGTCCCCCCACCCAGGGAGCAACGCAAGACCACAGTGGTGTGAGGACTGAGGGCCTGGGGTTGGTAGGGTGAAACAAGGCAAGATCCAAGGGCCCAAGAGTCCAAGGGCATTAACTCACCTCCCGCTGCCTGGAGGACCGGTGGGACAGCTCCAGGAGGCTGGGCACGTGGCACTGCACCTGATCCACCTTGGAACACGCACACAGGATCAGTCCGTAGAGGTGGAAGAGGAAGGCCTAGGGCAGAGCACAGCAGGGCTGAGGGTTAGGCCACATGGGTCACCCTCCCATGGCATTTCCAACGGCTGAGGCAGCGGCCCCATCGGGCGTTGACCTCTTCAGCAGTCTTCTGGGGGTGCAGGCTGAGGGACTCCAGGAGCTTCTGCATGGAGGCATCTGTGTCTGGTGCCTGACGCTTTTCCCCAAGCTGCAGGCAGGCTGTGTACTCAGGTCCTGCCTGCCTCCACCCAGTCACCAGGGCAGCAAGACAGATCCCAGAGCCAACAAGACAGATGTTGCCCTGCCAGAGCCCTGGGTGGGTAGAGGACAGCCTGCTCCCAAATGGGTAAAACCAGAGGTAAAGCCACTCTAGCAGCCAGAACCTCAGTCCTAAGTAAATCTGCCTACGCTTGCCTCTACTGGCGTCCTGAGACCCTCACTGAGGCTGAAACTCTCAGCAAGGTCAACAAGTCCTGCTGACATCAGGGTGTGCACCCCACTTACTGTCCCTCCGCCATGCTGACCCCGGGTCCTTTGCCTATCTTGTTGTGATGGGTGGTGCCCCCCACAACCACCCAGCTGAGCTTAGGGTCACAGGCCTGCTGGGGCCTTCAAAGGCCATGTCACTTGGGTTGGCCCAGGGAAGTAGACACTAGCTGTGGGAGGCTGGTCACAAAGACTGATGCACAATTTGGACTGATGCCCAGGACAGCCCCACATGTCCCAGGACTTCAGCCACCCCTGGTAGCACTCGAGAGAACAGGGGACTTCCTGGTGGACAGCTGGACGGACACTGGCTTTGTCCTGCAGCGCCCGCCACACAGGCTTTCAGAACAGTCATAGGGCCTAGGAATGCATGTCCACCCTAGGCAAGGTGGAGACTCTGTAGTGCCATCTGCTGGTGGGAAGTAGCACATCTGCCCCAGCTGCCAACTCCCTGACACCTTCTAGCACCTTCCTATGGAAAGTTAGGGGCGTTGGGGCTACCAAGGTCTGCAGGAGTCCAGAGGTAGCTGATAACTCTGGGACGAGTTCTGGGGCAGGGCGTCTCAGGTTCCTCCCAGGCCCATGAGTATCCTATCCCAAAGGGAGCATACATCTCTCTGATCCTACCTGACTGTGCTCCTCCAGGAAGTAGCAGATGGTATCCAGCGCCAGGCTCTGCTCTGTGAGGGCCATATTCTTGATCTTGCTGACCAGCACACCCTCCCCGGGTGAGAGGGCATTCAAGGACTCTTCCATGAGCCCCAAGTCCAAGTTGTCTGTGAAAGGCCCAGAAGCAGAGTGGCAGCACCAGCTCTGCTCACCAGTTCCCCAAGATCCCAGGCCCCAGGACCAAGACTCCTAGGCTGGGTGCAAAGGAGAAGCAGTGCTCTGCTGGAGACAGACCTCAAACCCACCCAGCACCACCTTCCAAGCTACAGGGCCTCTGCTTGGAACCCTGAAAACACAGACCATGGAGGCTGACTTGCCCACCCCAACAGACATCAGGAAAACCTGTCAAGCAGCCCAGAGTAGGGTCAGAGTGCAGTTTGGGGACAGTGCCCACACCCACAGACCTGAGGCTGTGACCCACCACCAGAACTGAAGCCAAAGATCAGTGAGGACGGCGCCGCTCAGTGGCGCCAAAGCGCCTGCCGATCATTTGGAGCAGCGCACTATCCTGCCTTGTCTCTGAACCAGACGAGCCAACACTTTCCATATCTAAATCTCAACGCAGAAAGCAAACACATGTGGGAGATCATCTATGACCCTAAGTAGAACCCCAAAAGGCCAACACTTCCACTGAGCAACATAAACTTCCTGGGACCTGACCATCCAGCACATCGAGGAAAAGCTGGAAAGCTATTGGCTGCCCCTGGGGCAGGGGGGCTTTGTGGACACACCAGAGGCCTCTTCCCAGCCAGCCAGGGACTTCCACACAGGCAGAGCGCCCCCCCCCGCCCCCGCTGTCAACAAAATGGAAAGGTGGTCCACCTTCCATAAAGACGGGAACCAGGAGCTGTGATTTACCTCCCTCAAAACAGACATTCTTACCTGCAGAGAGGTGGCTAGGGAGGAGTTCCCTCTGGAAATTCCCTCAGTAGCTGTGTCAAAGTAAAATCTAGGAAGACATGCCCAAAGCCACCCTGCTATGGTTTCCTTGTGACCTCACCAAAGGCTCATGACTTGAAGTCTTGGCTCCTATCGGACTAAGTCACGAGTGCTCTGACCCAATCGGTGGCTTCATCTGCCACTGGTAGTCATAAATTATGGTGACTGGGAACTGAGGCCCGGAAGGAACACTGGGCTCAGGGGGCATTCCTGGAAGGATGTTTTGTTCCTGGACGCTTCCTGTCTCCCTGCTTCCTCGCTGCCATCCAGTGAGCAGATTTGCCCACCAGGACCTTCCATCAGCCTGTTCTGTTCACTGAAGCCCACAGCCACAGAATCAGCCCACTGTGCACTGAATCCTTTGAAACCACAAGCCAAAAGAAATCTTCCATTTGGGGGATGCCAGGCACTCTGTCAGATCAATGAAGAGCTAGCACGTGTGCATTTGGTTCTGTGCCTTCCCGTCCATGGGCCAGTCACCCCCTTCCAGTAGAGACATCAGAGGTTCTGTTAAAATGCAGGGAGCTGAGGAACACATGTGGCCCCAAGACCACCCTGGAAACCCATGGTTCTGTGCACCTGGACTCAGAAAAAATGTCTGGGAGTTTTATGATAGCCATATGAATGTCTGTGTTGTCTAATGCTTTTACAGGGATGCACACACAATATGAAGGAAAAAGTCTGAATGTCTGCGAAGGACTCTGGGTGACACACATGGGCTGCCTCATCACTGGGCTCTTGTCAGATTCACCCTTGGCAAACCATACCTTACTGAACCTAGTGCCCACACAGGGTCCTCAGCTAAGCCCCATGGTGCCCTATCCAGCCTTGGCCTTGACCCCTGCAGTCCCAAGGAGAGGAGCTCGCTGTTGACATCTGAGGTCATCACTCACCAGCTTTGTAACCCACTGGAAGACATTCATTCATGCATATACATGCTTGATCATGAGATAAAAACCCACTGACCATCTATCTGCCAGGAACTGGGTCTCCAGTCAGCACAGGTGTTTCTTAACAGCCTCGGAAGGATCCGGGCTACCCCTGTATACCCAGAGTCCCACAGACAGATGACACAGGGAAGGTTTCGAGGTCCCTGCTCAGCTGGGTGGTACAGCCTACCTCAACTGACTTCTCCTTAGATGCAGGGACAGTGGCTCCCCTTTAGCTGCTCTTCTTGGGGCAGAGACACGAGGACAGGTGGGCTCTGCCCATAGCCCTCTCTGCCAAGTGCCCTACTTCAGGAGGTCAGAGTCTGAATAGACCACACCCCTCCGCACTGCATGGATGTGAGCAGCTGGTCACAGGCCCCTGTTGATGCACAGGGGCCTCGGCGCTCCTCAGCAGCATGCCCAGCCTCAAGCCCCACCGACTGTGTACCCCACTCACTAAGCTCCAGCTCTTGCTCCTGCTTGGGCAATAGGAGAGTGGATTTCCCACAAGCTAAGTGGGTGGCTGTCCTGCTGAATTGGCGGGGGTGTCTTTGGGGAAACCAGCAGGAGCTATCATCAGGCAATGCCCACATAGAAGCAGCACCTCTTGGGAGCAGGACCTGGAAGGAACAGGACAACTATGTCTCTTATCTACCTGGAGCCAGAGCAAGGCCACAGGGCCTCTCAGTCACCCCAAGCCCCTCCTGGGTCCCCTTTATTCACTCCAGAGACACAGCAGGTGGCCTGTAGGCAGCCAGAAGGCTCTGCCCGCAGACGGACAGCTTCTTGCTCAGCTGCTCCATGGGAGGGTGTGGTGACTCTGAGACCACGTGGCCATCCTCACCCTGCCAGCTCTTCTACCCTGGCATCCCTCAGGACAGGTTCGGCACCTTCTTCCCCATGGGCTGACCACCCGCCCATACATAGGCATCATGGGTTCTCCTGGGACCTGTTAAAATACACTTTCTGGTAAATGGATCTGGGGACCCCCATGTGGTTCCAAGGCTGATTAGAAACCCATGGTTCTGAGCACCTGGACCCAGGTGTTAGCCACAGATTCACCCCACTTGGGGTACTTCCTCAGCACCCAGAGCACATTTCTTATCCGTCCAGCCTTGCCCAATCAAGGTCTGCCTTAGACCCCCAGGCAGCAGGCTAGCCAACTTTCCAAGTGGCCCCCAGAGTGCCGTTTCAGCTCACCTCACTGATGCCCACATCCTTGCCCAGGGAGGGACCCTCACGAGTCCTGAGGCAGGCCCACTTCCTGGCACTTTCCCCTCTGTCCTGAAACTCTAAGGAAAAAATCCTCACCTCAAGCCCCCCATCTGATCCTATCCATTTCCATCATCAGCTTGACTGGATTTAGGAGACTAGCCGGGCTTACTTCTGGGTGAATCTGTGAGGGTGTTTCCAGAAAGGAGTAATTGGCGGAGAAGACCTTCCCTAGGGGTCAGGTGGCACCATCCCATGGGATGGAACAGAAGGGAGAAGGAGAAAATGAATGGGCGGCCACCGTTTGACTCCACGCCCTGGCCCACCACGGTTTGAGAAACCCTTCTCTTCACACCTTCTCCACTATGATGGATTAAGGCCTCTGAAGCCGTGAGCCATGATAAATCTTCCTCCTTTTGTGTCAGGTATTTTGTCATGAAAAAAAAAATGACTACATACCCCACCCTCCCATCCTGAGGACCCTTGTTCTGAACACCCTGTCCCCCTTATCCTCCACCTCTCCCCTGGCATTTTGCAAGCTCTGCTGGCACGGGCCCATCTGGGGCTTCTCTGCCACCTCTATTCCAAGCCTCTACACAGCCTCCTCCACTAACCCTCTGGAACTGTGAGCCTCGGAGCACCTTCCTCTCCTTCGAAAGAAAGTGTTGTTCATCTTTAGACCTGTGCCCATTGGAAGGCCTGGCACTGTGGGTGCTCGGAGTGGCTGGGAAGAGATGAACACAGAGATGAGCAATGGTGGACTACGAGTGGAGAACCGGGGGAGGGGAGGCACTGACAGGCAAGCAAGGCGGTGAGCGGGCAGCAGCAGGCACAGCCTACCTCCCTGCTGAGGCCAACACCTCAGGTGGGGTCTGGTGCATTTGCTGCTTTTGTGCCCCACCCTGCTAGAGGCCTGGGTGGGGCAAACAGTACTGGTGATTTTAACGTGACACCCGAGTTGCCCAGTGCCCACCTGGTCCTCAAGATCCCGTCTGACGAGCCAAGTGCCTTCCCTCTTCCTTGGACCCTCCAACATCCCCCAGCCCTTCTGGGACCCTGGCTAGGCCCCTCCCTGCTGCTTTTAGCCACAGCTGGAGCTGGTTCCCAAGCCACAACGGTCAAGGCATCACTCGGAACTGCATCTAGCCTTCGCTTCTTCAGGCTGGCCTTTCCTTCCTGGATTCACGCCACCAGCAAGTGCCTTTAGGAGCCCTGTTCATCACTGCTGCAAAGTGAGGCCTCACAGGCCTTGCAAAGACTCCAGGAAGGTTGAACCCCAACTCTACGAATTGGTCCCTCTGTTTTAATGGAGGCTGAAGAAGTCATTTTCAAGTGGCCATCCCCCAGCCTGACGTAGAAGTGCAGGGCGGGGGGCGGTTCTGGAGTGCTGCATCGGAGGGAGAGAGGCAAAACCAACCGGGAGACTAAAGTCAGAATCAAACGGCAACCAAGGGTGTGAGCCATTGAATCCAAAGGGGACCATATGGCTAGAGAAGGCGAGGGGGGCTGTGCAAGTGGCCTGCGGGTAGTAGAGGACCACACCGCTGCCTAAGACCACTGGCTGCCCCACTGCCACCCTTTCCTCAGGTCCCCTGCCTGTGCTAGCCTCTCTCATGTGGACTGTCCTTCCTTTTCCAGCCTGGACAATTAAGGCATCTCAGACCCAGCCAACCTGCCCAAGGGACCTGGACACTCAGCATTTCAGGTCCTTCTAGGTCCCGGTGCTTACAGGGGCAGATACTCCCATCCCTGCGTTCTCTCAGGCCCCACAGCCCTTTGCCAAGTCCCCTGGGGCCAGCCACAGCCCCCTTCCCCATCCCTGGGGCCAGCCACAGCCCCCTGCCTGTCCCTGGGGCCAGCCACAGCCCTTTGCCAAGTCCCCTGGGGCCAGCCACAGCCCCCTGCCTGTCCCTGGGGCCAGCCAAAGCCCCCTACACAATCCCCTGGAGCCACTGCTAGCTCTCTAGCTGTCTTTGTACCCTGCCTCAGGGGTGGTGCTAAGTGTCAGGCTCCTGTAGACATTGAGTGTCCGAGGGCCACGGGGAGGCCAGTGCTCAACCAGTGCACGTGATGGCCCCTGTGCTGAGCACTGATTGGTAGATAATGAAAGACTGCTCTTTGTGCTAAAAGGTAGCTCAGAAATGACTCCAAGCATTATAATCAAAGAAACACATGGAAGGGACCTGGTACGCACATGTGCACATGGTTTGGATGGTCACCCAGAGAACAGCCTCTGAGAACTCCCCTGGCCATCTTACCTGCACCCCACTTCCAGGAACTGAATCCATGGAAAAAATTAGAAATGCTTGAAAATTCACTATTCAAAGCTTCTTCCCAGGCTTTAAATGGCCACACCTCTCAAAAAAGAGAGGCTGAATGGACAGCCAGGGAAAGTTGCTCTGATGACAGGACATGGAAGTTACTGGGATCCACAGGCAAAGAAAAGTCCTGAGATTCTAATTTAAAATCCACTTGCCCCCAGGCAATGGGATCCCAGGTTTTCTTTCCTGAATCTTCTTTTCAAAAAGTTCCCAGGCGTGGTGGCGCAAGCCCTTAATCCCAGCACTTGGAGGCAGAGGCAGGCGGATCTCTGTGAGTTCAAGGCCAGCCTGGTCTACATAGTGAGTTCCAGGACAGCTGGGGCTACAGGAAGACCCTGTCTCAAAAAGACCAAAAAAAAAAAAAAAAAAAAAAAGGCCCCAGTGAGTTTGCCAGGAGCACTCCAAAGGCTGTGAGGTTTTCTGAAAGTCAAGCAAAAGACACATCGTCAAACCGTACCTCCGGCACCGAGGAGGAGCATTGCGAGTCGGAGCTGGCCCACAGCTCTGCCAGCTCCTGAAGTCCAAGTCATGAGCTTGGTTCCCTTGGACAGCCTGAGGAGAAGAGAGGCCGGTGACT